TTTTTTACTATATTCTTTACATTTGTAGCAAGAAACGCGTAAACACTTATTGCCGTGCGTATATGCCCGTATTTACTTGGTAAAAGCTGTGCGTGAAATTCTTAATCGAACATTGGCACTACTCGATATAGAGCCGGTTCAGTTTATGTAAACGGCCATGCAAATATGTACATTACAATTTAAACAAGTGAATCTATACTATACAAATTAAAATATACCAATTACATTAAAATCTTTTGGGCAAAAAAAAGCATTTGTTTAGTGTACAACACTTACATAATATGTTTGACCTAACTATTATAAGAGAAAAGAATAAAAGTCAATCAATAATTATTGTATTAAGATAAAAAATTTTCGAGTCATCTATAATTATTATTCAAGGACTTATATTAAAAAAAGTCCTTGCATAATAATTATGTGTGAGAAAATTTTTCAAGTCACCGATAACTGTTATTATAAGACTTATAACGGGTGATTTTTTAAGAGCTTGATACCTTTTTTTTTAAAAAAAACGCATAAAATTTGCAAAATCTCATCGGTTCTTTATTTGAAACGTTAGATTGGTCCATGACATTTACTTTTTGAAGATAATTTCATTTAAATGTTGACCGCGGCTGCGTCTTAGGTGGTCCATTCGGAAAGTCCAATTTTGGGCAACTTTTTCGAGCATTTCGGCCGGAATAGCCCGAATTTCTTCGGAAATGTTGTCTTCCAAAGCTGGAATAGTTGCTGGCTTATTTCTGTAGACTTTAGACTTGACGTAGCCCCACAAAAAATAGTCTAAAGGCGTCAAATCGCATGATCTTGGTGGCCAACTTACCGGTCCATTTCTTGAGATGAATTGTTCTCCGAAGTTTTCCCTCAAAATGGCCATAGAATCGCGAGCTGTGTGGCATGTAGCGCCATCTTGTTGAAACCACATGTCAACCAAGTTCAGTTCTTCCATTTTTGGCAACAAAAAGTTTGTTAGCATCGAACGATAGCGATCGCCATTCACCGTAACGTTGCGTCCAACAGCATCTTTGAAAAAATACGGTCCAATGATTCCACCAGCGTACAAACCACACCAAACAGTGCATTTTTCGGGATGCATGGGCAGTTCTTGAACGGCTTCTGGTTGCTCTTCACTCCAAATGCGGCAATTTTGCTTATTTACGAAGCCATTCAACCAGAAATGAGCCTCATCGCTGAACAAAATTTGTCGATAAAAAAGCGGATTTTCTGCCAACTTTTCTAGGGCCCATTCACTGAAAATTCGACGTTGTGGCAGATCGTTCGGCTTCACGTCTTGCACGAGCTGTATTTTATACGGTTTTACACCAAGAATCGACATTTCACGGTCTTCAGCAACACTCTCAGAAACAGACGCAATATTCTCTTCTGTACGCACTGTACGCATTCGTGTGGTTGGTTTAATGTCCAATAAAGTAAACTGAGTGCGAAACTTGGTCACAATCGCATTAATTGTTTGCTCACTTGGTCGATTATGTAGACCATAAATCGGACGTAAAGCGCGAAACACATTTCGAACCGAACACTGATTTTGGTAATAAAATTCAATGATTTGCAAGCGTTGCTCGTTAGTAAGTCTATTCATGATGAAATGTCAAAGCATACTGAGCATCTTTCTCTTTGACACCATGTCTGAAATCCCACGTGATCTGTCAAATACTAATGCATGAAAATCCTAACCTCAAAAAAATCACCCGTTATAATAAAAGTCTTTTCATAATAATTATCATCGAGATAAATATTTTTGAGTCCTAAAAGACGGGGCTTGTTTAGGACCATTTCGGGACTAGTTGGGGGCTAGTTCCGGGCTAGTTGGGGATTAGTTTAGGACCTGTTGGGCAAAGTTAATATTTTTATAGTTTCTTTGAACCACGATCTTTATTGAAATACATTCAATTAATGTTGTAACTTTAAGTTTTCCGTACGTGTGACATAACTGACATGGAAAAAATTTTATGTTAAATACCACTTAAAACAAGAAAAGATAGGAAACAAGTGTCTTTATATAAAATGTAGCCTTTGAGGTTTATTGTCAGGATAAATGGAAAACATTCTATTTTTAATATTTTTATTGAGC